TTAACAAATGATCTGTGAATACACTCACTGCTATATTTGAAGGACGTCTAATTTCTTTGGTTATCTGAGCTACAGTTGACTGTCGAATGATCATGAGACGTGAAATATTCAGAGCTATGTTCATCTGACTGATTTTTCTGTGAACATCACACTGGGATATTCTCCTTTTCCTTGAAGACGAACAATTAACGATTAGAATGTGTGTAACAGTACTGTCTCGCTCTCTTACCTCAGTCAAGTCAGTAATTCGAGCCTACCGAGCCCAATCAAATATTTTTGTTAGTAGCGCAATATATATTTATGATCTATGTTATTAGATAAGAAAGTGAGCCACTGGATGATTTTCTTCAAATGGCATCTTGATTTCAATATCCATGGTTGTGTAGGTCTTTTCCACTGTGTTCATTTCAATTTTTAGGCCGGTATTCAGATCTATAGACATCCCAACACGAACATGGTGGATCGGTGTCCAAGCAACGGGTTCACATGGAAACGAATACTCCTACTACAGTATTCCGTTGACGCTACCCTAAACTGACCAATGTTATCTCGAAACCCTCGCAATTGTCAGTTTTCAACTGATCCTCAGTTTACGGGTTATCGGTTAGTTGACCATACTCACATCCCTGTGTGCAGACGTGCGTGGGACATGTTCTACTAAAGTCTTCCCAATTTTGAAGACTTAAGTGCAGTTCACGTTCCGGAGAGTACATTCCTCTAGAAGGCCTGGGATATGAACCTGTCATGCCGACGGACTCGCAGAAGTGGGCCCCATCGGGTTACTAAAACAGTCAAGGCTATGGGTTATGACAAAGGCATTTCGCAGTGAATATCGCTCGCCTTCGCAAAGTAAGACTACATCCATATCTAGCGATTGCTTCTACAACGATATCTACCAGCATTAGGAAGCTGGATTCACCTCGCTTTATCTTTCGGTCGCACTGCTCCCAGTGCACTGGTCGGAGTTCTGACGTCTTATAAGAACATTTATGGTCTGGAGACCAGTACCACTTATCCTGCGCATACAGAACTCATCGATCACGGTTTCCACTAGGTCAACTTGGCGGTATAATAGTTGATATCCAGAGTCGCCACAGGGAGGCTTATCGGTCTACGTAACTACACTCTCAATCTGTAATACCCAGCGCACTAAGCATCTCCGGATTTCACGAACTAGTATCATTTAACTGCACCATGTAAATTTTCTTAACGTCAATGTCATAGCACGTAGCTGTGGAGTGAATCTATACTGCCCAAAGAGTTACAGTTGCTCCCAGCAATTACTGTAACTAGTGGTACCAATAAAAGTGTAAAAATTGGGCACTGTTTATTTGATACATAGAACACATTGATACAGTATACTTTACTGTGTGATCCCATCACTTTCGACATCTGTCTTCCTTATCCTATCACCGCATATTTTTTGCTTTTATTAGTAGTAAGATTTTCCATATCTCTGGCATAGGTGTTGCATCATTCCTAATTACATGTGGTGGGTGAGTGTTGATTCAACGTATAAAGACTCTGTAACCAACCTCCCCACCTCTATAACTAATTATATTGGGTTTAGGTACGGTGGTTGTATCCAACCCACTCTATTGTATGTTAATGTGTGTATTGCAATAGCTGACTTGCCTTCTATATTATTGATCTTATTCGGGTCTGTCATTCTATATTTAGATAAATTCATGTGTTCCACTAATCTCAGTCTAACCGTCCTTTACTCACAGTCATTTCATGGGATGTAATAGGTGAGATTTTTCTGCTTAATTCGTCCAATCGAATCCTTAAGCCGGCAACGTTTATCTCAGAGTCAGTTTGTAGATTTAAATACCACTCTAATTCCAGCCATGTTGAGAATCCTATGTAAAGTTTCTGATGTCCCTTCCTTATACGGTAACACAGTAGAGGCTTTCAGCTCCTTTCCACTCGTTTTGTCGTTATTATTTCGTCTCTTATATGTTCGTAAGAATTTCTTCACAAACTGCAGAGGGTAATTATCAATTATTAGTGCTTCTTTAATGTGTTTCAGTTCCTTGTTTAGGTCTTTGCACTAACTAGTCAGTTTTCTAGCTCTATCATTTAGACACTTGACCAAACCTGGATTAACTTACATTGAATGAGATGATATAGGAGTGTAGCTTAATATAGAATGATAGACCCGAATAAGATCAATAATCTAGAAAGTAACTCGGGTATTGGAATGCATGGATTAACACACACAACCACACACAATATAATAGATGGGATAAAACCTCTGTACCGCTTAAGTCCAATATAATTAGGTGGGGAGAAAGAGGGGGAGATCGACTACTGAATCTGCGTTCAATGAATCAACACCCAACCCAGTACATGTAATATGAATGACACAAGACACCTACACCACAGATACGGAAAATTGTACTACCAATATAAACAAAGAATATGAGGTAGGTGACAGGACTATAACAATCAGATGTCTCGAAAATGGAGTGTGATTACACATTGATGTGATTATGAGCAGTGATAGTTTAATGTCAAATAACCAAAAATCTATCTGGGAAGAGACCAACACAGATGAAACCAATGAGAGATAGTGAAGGAAATCTAGTTACCAAAGAGGAGAAAAAAAGAAACGATAGACTGATCACTTTAAAAAAAACTCTTCAGTCGATAACCACCTGCATCTCGTTCAGAAATACCACTAGCAACCCAGCCACAGAACTACCGGTGAACACAAACCCTCTGACAAAAGCAGAAGACGTGAATGCCATAAAGTTGCTGAAATCTGGGAAAGCACTAGGACCAGGTGGAATTCCTTCAGAAGCACTAAAAACAGATGCAGAGTCAGCAGCGGACATGCTAGCACCATTGCTGCAGAAAGTTTGGGAGGAAGGAAGGAAATGTAGCAACTGACTGGAAGAAGGGCTATCTTGTCAAACTCCCAAACAGGGGAAACTTAAGTCTTTGCAAGAACTGGCGAGGAATCATGCTCCTGTCCCCGTCCAACCCAAGCCAAAAATATTAGGCCGCAACATCCTGGAGAAACTAAACAATGCGCATGATTGAAAATTACGATCGGAACAGGTTGGCTTCATGAAGAACGAATCATGTGCGGATCAAATAGCAAGGCTACGCATCATCATAGAACGGAGCATATAATGGCAGTCAACTCTCTACATTACGTTAACTTCATCGACTCTGAAAAGGCTTACGACAGCGTCGATCGAGAAGTAATTCGGCAGGTAGCTGCTTCAACACTACGGTTTCAGTGCCACAAACCTTTATCAACCTCATTCAACAACTATATGCCGTATGATGATGATGCTACATGCCAAGCGATCCACAATAAGAGGTTCAGTGATGCCTTTGAAGTGAAGACAGGAGTAAGACAAGGTTGTCTACTATCACCCATCATCTTCCTCACTGTGGTTGACTAGACTGGATTGGATCATGCAAGAAACTGTGAGAAGAGAGAAAATGGGCATACGCTGGCTGCACCGATGAAAAGACCTAGAAGATGTGGATTTCGCCGGCGATGATGACTTATGTCTAATGTCTTGTCACACAAACTCGAAGATCTACAGGCAGAAGAGGCAAGGCAGCGAAGATCGAATTTCCTTCACGTGAACGTTGAGAAAACAGAGGTGATCAAGATACCCAACCAACAAGAAACACCAATCACCATGAACGGGAGAAACCTAAACGAAGTCTTCTTTTTCACCTACCTACTTACCTAGGCAGCATCGTCTCAACTACAGCTAGCGGCAAACATCACGATGTCAAAGCCAGGACCGGGAAGACAGCAAGACAGGCCTTCATCAACGTAAAACCAGTGTAGAGAACGACTGCATTTGGCATAAAATGTGAACAATATCCGGATTTCCAACACCAACGTCAAGTCAGTGCTTCTATATGGTTCAGAAACTTGGCAGGTCCCAAAAAGCATTTCCAACACGCTAAAGATACTCATCAACAACTGGCTCGATGCTGAAGATCAGATAGCCAGAATAATAAGAATAAGCAACAAGGAACTCTGGCTCGCAACGAACCAACCAACAACCTATCGACCAACAAATATGCAGTAGAAAAAAATGGAGATGGATTGTGTTGGGCATACACTGTGAAACCATTCGGAGACATCATGCTCCAGGCCATCGAGTGGAATCCAAAGGGGAGATGATGAGTTGGACGTCTAAGCTGAGGGTGACATGGAGGAGATCATGAGAGCTTGTGGGCAGGCCTGCAGCTAAGTTGAAAAGACTGCAGAGAACAGGGTGCAACGGAGAAATGCTACTGAAGCCCAATGTTTTGTTAGGAACCCAAGGGACAAATAGTAATGGCAATATAATGATAATTTATGCTCGAAACGTCATCAAGTAAATAATACCGTGTCACTGTGCGCCATATAACAAATAAAGTTAAAAGCGGTGCGAGTAGTTTACTTAAACGGTATTTTGCTGAAAAATCCATCCAGTGTAATAATTATCATTATTTTACTAAGAGAATATATATATTTGTCAAGATAATTTGGTTGGTTGTGGCTCGCAGAAGAATCCAAGACATGCGTTTCGTCCTATTTGGGACTCGTCAACTGGATGTACCTGCACCCCGGTGATGTTGTATATCAATAAATAGTAATAACTACTGCCCGTTGTACAAGAGATGGCTATCGTCCCTCTGTGGCATAGTGGATAACGCCTCGTCGTTTGAAGCGATCGCTTCAAGGTTCGAGTCTCAGTAGGAACAACATCAGCTGGGGTGCAAGTACGTCCAGCTGACGAGTCTCAAACAGGAAGAAGTGCATGTCCTGGATTCTTCTGCTAGCCACAACCAACCAAATTATCCTGATTGACATTCAGGCAATATCGAGGCATCCGCATAGGAGGCTATATGCCAATAGACGTCGAACAATTCGATCCAACAAAACAAACAACGGAGAATAACAAGTATGTCAATAAATAGTAATATTTGTCAAGGTTATATATGTACATAGTGTTATAATAAGTCAAAAAGAAAGGCTAATTCTTTTCTATATTTTCTGGCAATTGAAAACCTCTAGCGACTAAATATATCTCAGATGATTCTTTTCGACTAGCTTGTGGTTTTATAAAACGTATAAATGAAGATTTAGTTGACAATAAATTTGAATTATACATATAAAATTGAGAAACTTTTTCTTTAAATTCTATTGCTTCTGGACTATCAAATAATTTGATTACAAGACTGGCGCCTAATTTTGAAACACTAGTTGCCACCTGAAATAAGAATTGGTAAAGAAATAAAATGAAAGATTTGGATAACAGAGATTATCTGAAACATATTCGCGCCAAACAACATTTTAAACAATTTGATTGGACATTAAAAGGTGGAATATTTTCGACCAATCAGAATTCAAATAGGACCTTTGAATAACTGATATTTACATGTTGTATATTAAAGGTTTGACTGGTGATCTCATCACTCTTCTATAACAGATATATTGATGATATAATTATGATATGTGACAAGTATGAAGATGTAACTTGTCTGTTAGTACAGACACACCACCATACAGAATAATATACACTTAACATATAAAGAGAGAAAGTGAACCATATGAAGTTCTTGGGATATGCTTCTAAATTGTTCGAAAAACGAGAGAGCCACTTGAAAAGGTCAGTATTTCAGTTTCCATTTATTCTAAAGAAAATCCAGCGGAGTTGTACGTAAGATTCCATGGTGTCACCACGTGAGCAACTTACAAGTCAGGTATAGAGTTCTAGGGAGTAGAGGTAAATCAGTTGACGAGGTTATGAACCCTGATCGATTGAGATGGTTGGGACATGTACTACGTATGCCTAGTCACCGATTGCCTCGTCACACAATGTTGACTGAAGTTGGTCCAGGCTGGAAAAGGTGGGAAGGAGGTGACCAGACTAAAACATGGCACCAATGTATGAAGTCTCTGACTGTTGGTTTGAGCCATGTAGGGCGATGCAGACTAGGTGGTTGGGGTGTGCGAAACAAGAGGAACCAGTGGATGGAGAATCTAGGTGATATACCTCACAACTGATTTGAATGGCTCAGATGTATACACACATTATCCTCATCTTAACACGATAACGAGTCTCAACATTTTGTTATTCTTCCTTTCTCTCCTTTCATACTTTATATTTCTTTTGACTGCATTCTCTTATCTTCATCCTTCACGTCACTACGTTTCTACTTGATGTAGTGATATGAGGTGTGACAACTCGGACCTTTATGCAGTAATACCTGGTCCTATGTTGATAATGATGATGATAAACTGAACTTTTACAAACTGTTACAAACCCCAACCAGCATTGAAACCTGGTCTGTACTCTATTCCAAAGAAATGCGTTCATATCACATTTATACGAAAATCAAGGTCTTCCGTTAGAAAGATATACTGTGCAGCTAAGCTTATTGTAGTTGCAACATGAATTTCAAACGCTATCTGCGGATACACATACAGTAGGGAGGAATATTCGAGATACATACACTTGGGGGTGAGGGAAGATGTACCAAAAATAGCTTAAAAAAACGCTGGATTCACAAACATCGATAAGCGAAAGTCGCAGACAATCATCATCCTCATCGATTGCAAAACATTATTATTATTTGTCCCTTGGGTTCCTAGTAGAACATACACTTTCAGTAGCACGCCTTCATTCCACTCTGTTCTCTGAAATCTTTCCAACCTGGACTCACGACTACCCACAAGCTCTCATTTCTTCCTCACACAATCTCCTCCATGTCACCCTCACCTGGGACGCCCAACTCGCCGTTTCCCATCTGTGTTCCACTCGAGTGCCTGGCCTGTCGCGCGATGTCCCCGAATGGTCTTCTTAGTCCATGCCCAATCCAATCCATCTCCACTTCCTTCTGCATATTTGTTGAGCGATAGGTTCTTTGGTTCGTTGCCAGCCAGCCAGAGTTCCTTGTTGCTTATTCTTTCTGACCATTTGAGCTTCAGTAACGAGCGTAAGTGAAACATACTATTGATAAAAGTCACAGGGTTGATATTTAAACAGCGTTTACAATTTTGTATAAAAACAGTCAGAGAGGTATAACTTAGCTTTATATTACATTCGTTTATTTGTTATATGGCCTACAGTGATATAGTATTATTTACTTGATGACGTTTCGAGCATAAATTATTATTGCTCATAAGCATATCAGTGCAAACACACTCTACTTTCGAGACGTCTGATTGTTATAGTCCTGTCACCCATCTCATATTCTTTGTTTATATTGGTAGTACAATTTTCCGTAACTCTGATATAGGTGTGTTGTATCGTTCATATTACATGTGCTAGGTTGGGTGTTGATTTGATGAAGACAGATTTACTAATCGATCTCCCCCTCTTTCTCTCCACCTAAATATATTAGAATGAAGTACAGTAGTTTGATCCCATCTACCCTATTGCGTGACTGTGTGTTAATCCATGCAATGCAATAGCCAAGTTTGTTTCTAGATTTTTGATCTTATGGGGGGGTCCATCATTCTATATTTAGCTAAATCCCTATGTTTAGCTATTCTAATTGACCCCGATCGTCATGAATTCCACTGCCAGCCACTACTAATCATTACTATATATAATTAAAACATAGACAATATCAAGGCATTCAAGTAGGAGCCCAAATCTCAATAGAGACTGATCAATTCGGTCCAATCAACGACTGTATTATACAAGCAGTAACACTAAAACGTTTCTTGATTTCAACTTCTTAGCACTAGACGGCTTAATGATCAAACTATACTCTATTGTTCATTAATAGACTGTTGTGTTTGTGATATGCATGTAAATACGATTCTGTACAACTTCAGGAAATATTATTATCGGGAATGAAACCTGGCTCTCCTCACTGAACTAAGTATACTTTATCGTAATCAAGCTTCAGTAAGTACTTCACAGTTTAACACCAAGTTTTAGCTTGCTAAGAAAAAATATAAACTTGATTTTTATGTATAGCGCCCTTGCAGTGATTCCGAGGTCAAATACATAGGTGGAAATAGTCGACCACGGCTGGTTAATAAAGCTCTCCGAGTACAAAACATCCAGCTAGATCAAATTGGTACATCCTAATAAGATGATCGAGAATTTAGAAAATAGTTCAGGCATAGCTATGCATACAATTACATGCAACAACACACAATAAGATGGGGACAGGGTGAAAATTCTTAATACTGACATAACAGGGTGAAGGGTGAGATTGGTAACTGAATCTCTGTTCATCGAATCAGCCAACACCTAATACATGCAACAACAGGAATGAGTCACCATCTGTTCTGGATATATAGAAAATCTTACTACCCATATCACAGAGGGGGTGAGGAAATTAAGACTATATAAAGGATGTCTCAATGTTGTAGACTTGACTTAGTCGTCTTGATATGACTATGTGAGATAAATTGTGTCCGAAACGTTATCCAGTAAACAATACTGTTCCTTCATTAAGAAAACCAATAATCCTGGATACCGAGGGTAGGAAGGTAAAAGTGTCACAATTTAAACAAACATCATGAAGCAGGTGTAATCGTGTGAGAAAGTCAGAGCACATACGGCGACAATAATAATACTTTCTTTTATCTGTTACATAAATAATTTTACGCAAAATTTCTTTTGCATAACCCTTACGAAGACTTCAGTATCTTCGATTGCCAGCCTTCAGTAGGATTTCCCCGTTTTCTCCTAAATAGTATGTTTATCGAGTTTACTGATTATGTGATACATGTTAAGGTGATATTCAGCATAAACTGGAATCAGTTAGTGGTAAACCATTGGAAATCTGGCAGCATTGTACAGCTGTTTCGTCCTAGTGCGGGACTCCTCAGCATCAGCACCTACAACCCCATCAAGGGTTGAACCCATGACATTATGGTTTCGTGGTGAACACGTTGCCGTTTAGCCATTGGATTGGAATGTGATTATCCACATTTCACCACTTCTGTCATTTCGTGATATAGCGCGACTGTCATGCAATGCCAGTCCTCATGTTCAACATCGTTTACCCCTCCTATCTCGATGTATTTCACTAATGAGTTTCGGATAGTAATTTAGTTTTGGAGGTTTTTCGGGATTTCAATTATTTCAAGATGGTATTCATCATGGATTGACACTAGTTGAAGAACCGTTAGAAACCTAGGTGTACTGGACAGCACACCGTCTGAGGAGTCCCATACTAAGACGAAACCGATGTCCATTGCTTGTTGGTTTTCAATGGTTCTCCACGAATACATGTCAGTCAGCCATGAAAACCAACTCAGAAAGAATAAGACTTCAAAATGAATCTCAAAGGAAGTGATGAACTACTGCCAAAATCTGTGATTTACAATTTTGAAAACGCCAATCTCACAACACATCATGCTCAACTACACAGATATCTTAGTCAATAGAAAGTTACACTCAACGTTGAAGAAACAGGATCGCGTTTAGTTGGTGTGATGCGGTTCTCACCACCTCAATGCAAACCGTTGCTTAAGGATTGGTCGTCAACGGTGCCCCACCACGGCTAACAATAGAGTGAGTGAAGTGGTTGAGTGTGTTGACCACTTCACTTACCTGGGAAGTAGGATCAACTCCGGTGGGTCAGTTGCCAATGAAATCTCTGCACGGATACAAAAGGCTCGATTGGCTTTTGCCAATTTGCGCCACCTATGGCGCCGCCGTGATATTCGTTTGTCTATTAAGGGTCGCGTGTACTGCACAGCAGTCCGCTCTGTTCTACTGTATGGTTGTGAAACATGGCCATTGAGAGTGGAGGATACAAAAAGGCTTCAGGTGTTTGACCACTTCTGACTTCGTAGTATAGGCCGTATTCTATGGTGTCACCACATGAGTAATGCAGAAGTCAGGTGTAGAGTTTTAGGGAGAAGAGGTAAATCACCCTACGCCGTGAAACAAATCAAACCGCGAAAGAAACTTCAAAGCACAAACAAAATAAAAAGAAAATTATTTCTCGCTCGAATCGGAGAGACAAAATGACGCCGGTTAGTGAAGTCCTTCCAAAAGCCAATTGGCCGATGTGTCTTCTCGCAATGAAAGCGAAAGTAAACATGAGGGCATGGAAGGTCCGCACCATGTTTGTACCTAGCAAGGCTGCCCAGATTGCAAAGCGGATGTTCCGTTAGGAACCGAAAGGACAAATAACAATAAAATGTGTCTCAATGTTGTAGACTTAGTCGTCTTGATATGACTATGTGAGATAAATTGTATCCGAAACGTTGTCCAGTAAACAATACTGTCCGTTT